GGCTGTTTGTCCGTCGTTCCGTCCGTAATTCCGCGAGGGTTTCTCTCCGGGGGTGTTGCCCTCCCTGAGAGCCCCGTGGGCTGTGTCTGAACGTGCCCTCACGGGTGATGAGCGTGACCCGAATTGCAGCAGACGTGCTGGAAGGATGCGCTGGGAGGAGAGCAGCGACATCCCCGAGCCAGCCCCGTGCTCCCACCGGCACATCCCTGTCCTTCCCGGGGACTCTGCTCCCACCGGCACATCCCTGCCCTTCCCGGGGACTCTGCTCCCACCGGCACATCCCTGCCCTTCCCGGGACCTCTGCTCCCACCGGCACATCCCTGCCCTTCCCGGGGAGTCTGCTCCCACTGGCACATCCCTGTCCTTCCCAGGAGCAGAGCCCTGCTCTCCCCCGGCACATTTCCACCCCTGTCCTTCCCAGGAGCAGAGCTGAGCTCTCCCACCCACAGCCTGCTCTGAGCTGAGTGACTCAGGGCTTCTCTCTTCCCCCTGCCTTGACTCGCTCACGAGTGCAGGGGTTTGGGTGCCTGTGGCGTTTGTTGCCTGAGAGGTGGTTAAATACAAGAAACTGCTGTTGAAGGGTTCCCTGGATACTTCAGAATTTTTTTTTTATTCCTTTACATTTTTTTCCAACCCTCTCACCCTCCCCCAGAAACAATTCCTTGCTCAGGAAGGAATTGTTCCTGCTAAGAGCTGGTGGCCTTTCCAAGGTCAGTGTTTTGTTAGAGATATCAGCAACTGTAAGAGGAAGAAGCTATCCCAAGGCAGAAAAGGGACTGGGAAGATTTTAGATATTTTGGAAGAGGCTGCCCAGGAAGGTGGTGTGTAGCTATGATATTTTATGAAAAATCCTGTGCTAGGATTTTCTCCTGAGGAGCTGAGAAGCCTCAGAAAAGAAATGCAAACAATAACTGTCTGATGGCCGTGGAATGTGCTCTGGACATTGTTTACCAACAGGTGCATCTGTGGTTGGTCCATGTGAGTTATTTCTGCTTAATAACCAATCAAAGATCCAGCTGTGTGGACTCTGAGAGTCACAAGTTTTTGTTATCATTGCTTTTTTGTTCTTTTTAGCTTTCTGATGGATTTTTCTCTCTATTCTTTTAGTATAGTTTTAATATAGCATTATAATATAATATAATTAATATAATATAATACAATATAATATATCAGCCTTCTGAAACATGGAGTCAAGACTCTCATCTCTTCTCTCATCCTGGCACCCTGGAACACCACCATGGTGCTGGAGTCCCCATCCATCCCTGGAGGTGTTCAAGGAGCTCCTGGATGGGGCACTCAGTGCTCTCCTCTGGTTGACAAGGTGGTGATTAGTCAGAGGTTGACTTGATGATCTCAGAGGTCTTTTCCAACCTGAATGATTCTGTGCTTCTACATTTGTCTCTTTAAATGTCAGTTTGATGTGTTTGCAGTGTGGCTGCACAGACAGGCTGGTTGGTGGTGCCAGTTGACTGTGGCTGCCCGGGATGTGGCAGAGGTGGGCAACGAGTGTGGATCTGGGATAAACAGTGGCAGGTCTGCCCTGGAGGAGATGCCCTGGCCTGTTTCCTGGCTGGGTTTGCATTTCTGTGTTGTTGTATATGTAGAGGCAGAGCCCTGGTGGGAAGATTCAATAATTTAATTAAACTTGTCACTGGGAGTCCCAGAAGTGAAGGAAGAGTTCAGAGGCAGTGTTTGAGTCAGTGTTTGAGTCACCTTCCTTGCTCTTCAGGGGAAAACCCTCCCTTTTTTCTCTGACTCTTTAGTGTTGCAGATACGTAAGATAATTCCTCATTTGGTGGAGAAGGACAGAGAAGAGAAAGGAAAACAAGAAAGTGGAGAGAAAGCACGAGACTGACCTTGGTGTCACAAGGAATCTTGTCTCTGGAGACGCTGCTGGCAGCAGACTGCCGAGAAGTGCAGCAACAAAGCACAGTTTATGCCCTCAGTCCATTACATTGGTTTTTTGAGGTGCCAGGAAAGTCAGACTGCAGGAAGGAAATGGTATTTTTGCAGCCCTTGATGTTTGTGACACCGCAAACCTAATCAAGATAAACGGGGGGCTGTGTTCACAAGCTGCCTGCACTGCTGTGCTGCCCTGACCCCGGGCAAACCAGACCCATCAGAGCAGATTTTTCATGGTGTGCACCCATCAGAGCAGATTTTTCATGGTGTGCTTTTGTCCCTCCAGGGCTCTTCTGTCCCCACAGCTCAGTGGAAGGTTGTGCTGGTTCCTTCTCCTGATCAACACAGAGTTTGGGGGGTTACTTTTAATATTCTGTTTAATTTTCTGTTAATATTCTGTTCAGAGTCCCTCTCTGCTGGGGGCTGCTCTGGGACCCATTTTAGGGGGCATTTTTCAAATCCATTTTACCTCCCCAGCACTGGTAGAACTTCAGAGCTGTAAAAGCAACAGAATTCAGTCCTTTTGGCAGAAATCCTGCCGAGTGCTTTTCCCCTGGAATTCCTTGGTCACTGTGTCATGTCACCCTCTGGCCACCGCCCTCCCAGGAGGTGTCATCGGGGTGGTTTGGCTTGCTGGGGTGGCAGGGAGGCCCAGGGGACACGGAGCTGTCCCTGGTGCAGGCTGTGTGCCACAACCTCCCAGGTAAGCCATTGCTGCTGCCTGGGGTGCCCTGGCATTCCTCAAGGCTTAACCTGAGAGCAGCAGAGCTGGGGAAGGTGGAGGTGGCTGGGTGGTCTCCAGAGGGGTGTGGAGAAGGTGGACGTGGGCTGGGTGGTCTCCAGAGGGGTGTGGAGAAGGGGGAGGTGGCTGGGTGGTCTCCAGAGGGGTGTGGAGAATAGGGAGGTGGCTGGGTGGTCTCCAGAGGGGTGTGGAGAAGGGGGAGGTGGCTGGGTGGTCTCCAGAGGGGTGCAGGTCCTCCCAGCCCGGTGTGGGTGAGGATCAGAGCTCCTGCTGCCCACCACACCTCAGCAGCCTGCCCAGGAGGGAGCAGAGGCTGGGGCAGGGACAAGCAAATCCTTCCCACAGGCTGAATTTCCTTCTCAGTTTGCTGTTTGCTCCTGCCCGTGTGGATTCATCCCTCTGGAGTTCCTGGGTGCAGAGCTGGGAGCAAATTGTCCCCGTGCTCAGGCCAGGGTGTTCTGGGACATCTCCAGGAGCCTTTCCTGAACCTCTGCAGGTGCTGAACCTGCAGCAGGAGCACCAGCCTCTCCTTTTTTAGTCATTTCAGTGAGGTTACCTGGGAAGGAGCAGAGGTCAAATGTCTGAAACTTCCCATGTTTGTGAAAGCAAGAAATCTTTTTAAATAGAAAATTCTGATACTTTTGGTAGTCATAGGTTGATTTCTGAGAAGAGATGTTTTGCATCAGTGCCTTTCTTCTGGTTTCAAGGCTTCTAACCCAGTGCTGGCTCACTCTTCAAGGGTTTTCCTGTGACTGGATATCAAATATTCAGCAGACAGATGAGTCTTGTGGTGTAGAGCAGACATGTTTTTCAAGGGTTTTCCTGTGACTGGATATCAAATATTCAGCAGACAGATGAGTCTTGGCCATGTGGTGTAGAGCAGACATGTTCTATTTGATTAATGAGGCTGTTGAGATAACAAGGCTTTGCTGTGTGATGTTTGGTTTATCTTAAAGGCTTTCCTGAATTTGGCACCAAGTTCTGCAGGTAGGATTGGTTATCTCCTGCCTCCTGTGCTGCCCAAATTGGAAATGCAGGATTTATTATTGCAGCAGAGCGAGGAGCATTGTGCTGACGCTGTGCTCGGTGACTTTCTCCTTTTCCTGAAAGCTCCCGTGCTGCTGTTGTGAGAGAGAAGGAGGCATTTGTTGTGGTTCACTCGAGAACATTCAGTTCAAAAATAGAACTGCAGGAGAAGGTTCACTTCCCAGAGGTTCAGTTTCATCCCAGCAATGGATGCAGGCACACGTCCAAGCGCGGATGGAAATCCGCCGGCTCCTGTTCCAGCACGGGCAGAACAAGCCCAAATTGATTGGTGAAATCTGATCTGGGGCTTCTGCTTGTTTGTTTTCCATCTTCCAATAAGACAGTGCACGTTTGCTCTGAGTTTTGGCTGAAGTGCTGGGGTTACCTTGCTGTGAGTCTTGGTTGGGTTTGCGAGGAGAAAATCAAGAGCTTCAGGAGCTGGAAGTTACCTGTTGGTCCTCGTGCTTTGAGAAGGTGAAAAATGATGGAAACAAGATTTCTTCTGCTTTTCTGCCCATGAATCAGCAAAAAGGGGGAAGAGGAAGAAGAGCTGGCTGTGGACAGTCCTTGCTGCTGTGCTGGCAGCTCTGGATGGTGCCAGCATTGGTGACGGTGTCATTGCCTCCGAGAAGGGGGGACTGGCAGCCAGCAGGCACTTGGACATTTTGTGATAGCCAGAGTGGCTGTTATCTCGAGAGCTGAAGGCCAGATGTGAGCTTGGCAGAGCTTCTTGATCAAGTCCGTGTGATGTTTGGTTTATCTTAAAGGCTTTCCTGAATTTGGCACCAAGTTCTGCAGGTAGGATTGGTTATCTCCTGCCTCCTGTGCTGCCCAAATTGGAAATGCAGGATTTATTATTGCAGCAGAGCGAGGAGCGTTGTGCTGACGCCGTGCTCGGTGACTTTCTCCTCTTCCTGAAAGCTCCCGTGCTGCTGTTGTGAGAGAGAAGGAGGCATTTGTTGTGGTTCACTCGAGAACATTCAGTTCAAAAATAGAACTGCAGGAGAAGGTTCACTTCCCAGAGGTTCAGTTTCATCCCAGCAATGGATGCAGGCACACGTCCAAGCGCGGATGGAAATCCGCCGGCTCCTGTTCCAGCACGGGCAGAACAAGCCCAAATTGATTGGTGAAATCTGATCTGGGGCTTCTGCTTGTTTGTTTTCCATCTTCCAATAAGACAGTGCACGTTTGCTCTGAGTTTTGGCTGAAGTGCTGGGGTTACCTTGCTGTGAGTCTTGGTTGGGTTTGCGAGGAGAAAATCAAGAGCTTCAGGAGCTGGAAGTTACCTGTTGGTCCTCGTGCTTTGAGAAGGTTTGAATGATGGAAAGAAGATTTCTTCTGCTTTTGTGCCCATGAATCAGCAAAAAGGGGGAAGAGGAAGAAGAGCTGGCTGTGGACAGTCCTTGCTGCTGTGCTGGCAGCTCTGGATGGTGCCAGCATTGGTGACGGTGTCATTGCCTCCGAGAAGGGGGGACTGGCAGCCAGCAGGCACTTGGACATTTTGTGATAGCCAGAGTGGCTGTTATCTCGAGAGCTGAAGGCCAGATGTGAGCTTGGCAGAGCTTCTTGATCAAGTCCTGTTTTGAGCTGGTTGCTTGTTAATTCCAAAGGTCAGTGGGCATTTGTGGTGCCTTGAAGGGAGGGGGATCAGCCAAGCGTGGCTGGGGGAGGTCAGCCCTGTGGTTGGTCCTGTTTGAGTGGCCTTGCTTTGCTTCTGCTTAATTTTTCATGTTTGGTGTCTGAAAATCTTGGACAAATAGGGTTGCGAGGAAGAAAGCAGAAAAATTTACAGAAAAACAACCTGTTCACGAAGATCAAATAATACTCTTTATATGGCAGTATTTATGAGCTGGTTTTAAATGGGGGAGTGAGAGGCGATTAAAATGAGGAGGAATTCTTTCTGCAGCCACTTGAGATGCTGCAGGTACATCTGGGGTGAATTGCAGTGCTCAGAGTCATCCCTGCCGTGACGTGTGAGGGACTGAGTGACTCTGAGAGCAGGGAGGAGTGGATTCCCCACTGTGGGAAGGGGTGGGTCCCAGCTGAGAGTCGTGCTGGATTTCAGGCTGTGTTTTGGTCTTAGATTTCACCCCAAACTTTGCTGCAGTCTCCCGTCACATGGAGAGCCTGGGGAGCTTGTTTAAGGTACTGTGTTACACTTCAAGCTGTGGTTGTGTTTTCATGGCTTAGCTGGAGGGTGGCTCCAGAGAGGTTTGGGGTTGGCCTTGAATGCAGGTTGCTTAAATTGCTTGAAAAATCCTGTCTGCGTGTTACTTTGGTTGTTTCTGGTGCATTCTTGAGCCTCTGGCTCTCGTGATCTCTGCAGGATACTGCTCCTCTTGTTTTAAGGATGCTTTTGAGGTGGGAAAACAGATTTGTCCTGTACAAACCCCCCTGGATTTAGACAAGTTCTTAACCTCCACAGTGTGTTTTTTTAGAGTCATTGCAGCGTGGAGAAGTTCTTTCCTTTTCACAGTGGAGAGTTGCTGGGTCCTGCTGGCTTTGTCGGGGGGGCTTGAAAGGAGCCCCGGTGTTTTGAAGGTAGTCCTTGTCTGGGAGCAGCTTTGGAGCTGGAGCTGTGCCCACGGAGCTGTGTTTTCCCAGGGCACTGTGTGAATGCTAAGCTGTGTTGGAATGAATTTGAGTGGGCAGCAGCATAAGCCTGCTCTCATTTTCCCTGGAAGACGCTGCTGCATTGTCTTGTCTGCTCCCTGAAAGCCTCAGTGTTGTTTGTCAAAGGCTGGATTCTGCAAGTGCCACGTATGCAAAGAAGCCCTGAATAGGAAGGACTGGCCGTGCTGGTTCTCAGCTCCTGACAGAATTCCTGGGGCCAGGACAACAGGCAGCAGGCTGAGGCAAAGCAGGTTTTGTTAAACTCTTGGTATTCCGTGGGCATCCGCTCTCCCACACATGAGATGTGTGGAGTTGTCTGGCTGTGCTCTGATAACTCCTGGGATTTGCTCTCAGCTTGCACAGTCCATGTTTTTGTGGATCATTCTGAGGGAATGGGCAGAGCTTGGCAGAGTGAAGGATTTTCCCATGGCCACGTGTGTGCTGGGAGCAGGTCTGGAAGTGTCAGCATCTCCCCGCTCCCAGGTTGAGATTTTGGCCGTGTTTGCAGGGTGGCTGTGTGCTCTGGTCCCTTTGTCCTGCCCCTCGTGGGAATACAAGTGACAAAAAGCAGGATGTGGGTGCTGGAGCTCAGCAGTGCACGCTGGCACTGGCATCTGCAGCAGGGCTTTGTGCAGAGCAGTCAGCAGATCCCAAATCCCTGCTGATGCCATTAGGGATGGTGGGACACATGGAGCAGGGGCAATCATGACCTAGCACCCCCTCACCAAGCAGGAGGAGAGAGCTGGGGAAGATCTGGGTGGGTTGGGAAGGAAGAATTCCTGCCCAGAATTCCTGAGGCAGCGCTGGGCTGAATCTCCTCCCTCCAGTGTGTGTAAGGAAAAGGTGCTGGACAAGGAGTGGGGGGCAAACACACCTCCTGTCCTTGGGAGCCCCAGGCAGCCCTTCCTGTCTTGCACAGGCTGCTGTGCTTGCAGGGATCCCTCAGATGTTGATGTCCAAGGGTGTGCCCCGTGTGAGCAGACAGGAAGGAGTCTTGTGCCTTATCTCAGCTACTTCTAGGAAATGATGTAAGACACTTCCCTGTACGAGCTTTTTCCTAGCCACATCCTGAATTTTACTGACAGCCCGCTTGGCTGCTCACCTTTTGAGCCCAGCTCCTGTGGGGCTGTGGGAGCTGAGCCTTGTGCTTTATCTGGTTTATTCTGGGGTGGATGTGCTCCCTGCTGCTCTGAGCCTCTCCGGTGTGCCAGTTTAGAGCTGGTCAGGGATTTGTGGAAGGGCTGGTTCAGTGCTTGACAAGTGCAAGGGACAGCACCAGCCCTGCTTTGTCCTGGCAGTGGGAATCACTGTCCAGGAGCTGCTGGGCACACCTGAGCTGTGTCAGGTGTCTGCTCCGTGCTCCCACCGTGGAACTGCAGCAGTTGAGGCAGCAATACTGAGCTCCACATCCACAGGTTCTGCACAGAGCTTGGGATTTGTCCCTGTGGAGTGACTGAGCTGCCTTGGTAACGGCTGATGCAAGTACTCCCAAAGAAAACCCTGCCTGAAATTTGTGATGGGAACGGCTCCACAGGTACTTGTCATTTTCTCAGTGCAGGAGAGGAAACACCGTCGTTCTCCTGAGCCGTGACGTGTTTGCTTCTGCAGTAAAGCTGTGCAGTTAAATAAACACAGAGATTTGAGGTGGTTTCGAGGTGCTTGGCTGTCTCTGGATCAGTTTGCTCTTGGCTTGTGGCAGCTGCAGGCTCAGCTGGAGAGCCAATGTGCCAGTTCTGCCTCGCTGTGTTTGGCCTGGCTGCCCTCTGACGAAAGCATGGGACTGTTCTGGCCCACTTTGAGGTGTCAAAAATGTGGGTCACTGAGATATAGAACACATCAACGTGACAATTTTAGCCTGAAGGGACAGAGTTGGCTGGGAACTGATGGCTGTTAGAGCCAGGACTTGTAGGTCAGCTCTTCTGATCAATGGGCGTGGTGCAGGCGTTGTTCACAGCCTCTGCTTGGAGCTCGGGTTCACCCCCTTCTTTTTTGGGGTGGAAAGGATAGAATTTGAGGCTTGACTTTTTTGAGGAAAGAAAAAAAAAAAAACCTTAAGGAGCTGTGGGATTGCCTGGGGAGGGCTCAGCAATGGTGTATCTCCTGGCTGGGGTCTGAGCATTCTCCTGGTCCTGCTGTGCATTTTATCTCCTTTATCACCCTTGAGACCTGGCCTGTGCTGAGGCCCCTAATGTCTTGTGTCCCTCAGATCATATAAAACCATACCAAAGGTGTGTTGGGTTGTGTTTCTGGTGCTGGCTGATAGCCTGGGGAGGTCCAAGAAAGCAGGATCCTGATGGAGAGGAGATCTCCAGTGCCTTGGTATGGGAAACTTCTCTGAACACCTCCAGGCTGAGAACCCTCCTCTGTGAGGTGACCATGTCATTTCTGGGAGAGGCTGATCTTCCTTCTGCCTGTCTGAGGCAGCAGGGCTGCGTGGGTAATTCCTGTGACCTGCATGGGACACAAGTGGGAATTAGCCAGGACTTGCTGCAGGAGGAACAAGTTGAGTTTTGATGTGCACACAGAGCTGTTTGTGGTTATCTCACTTGGAGTGTCCATCTCGCCTTTGCAGCTCGGAAAGCAGCTGTAGTGCAGTCCTGTGTGGTGGCAGGAGGCAAAATCTCTTCAAAACACTTCACAAAGTAAAGTGGACACTGACAGCTGTAAATTTGAGTGTGTGACCAGCTGTGGGCCTGAGAGGGCTTGTGGCACTGCTGGAGTTTTGGTGGCAGCTACAAAATACAACCAGAGCTTCTGCTCTCGTTTCAGGCTGCTCCACAAGCCCTTGCAGAGGCTGGGTAAAATCCTGGGGCTGGCTGGGGCAGGTCTGTGTGCTGGATGAGCCCTGGGAGGGACTCCTGGCATCCTGGGCGTGGGTGCCAAGTCCTGGTGCCTGAAAAGCCCAGGATTGAGCAGAGGTTTTGGGGTGGTCTGCCCAGGTTTGTGCTGAGTGTATCCCTGTGCTTGTGTCCTGCAGGTCGTGTTGATCATGGACAGTGAAGAAATCCCTACTTTTTCGAGTCCAAAGGAGGAAACTGCCTACTGGAAAGAGCTTTCCTTGAAGTACAAGCAAAGGTATTGTGGATTTGCAAGCTGAATGTGGTTCTTAATGAGCAGGATTTGGATCTTAATGATGGCTGTTTAATCTGTTCCTCTACAAGGCCACACCAAGATGGTTATTAGATACTTTAGAGAAAACCTGTGAGAAGAGAATTCTCTGGAAAGGATTTCCAGCTTTAAAATTTCCATCTCTGTGGGAGCTGAGTGTTTCTTGCCCAGTGTCACCATGCCAAGAACTGCAGGCTATGTTTTGAGCATGTTTGAGCAAGAGCAGAGCTTTTTATGATCATGTGCACCTTTGTGTAATTAAAGTGCTGCCTTGAGTGGTATCTTGATGTTTTATCATCAGAAGGCGCCTTTGGGCTTGCCTTGTATCATTCCTGTTCCCTCAAGCTTCTTCTAGTGGAGTGACTGGTATGAAAAGTGCCTGATTTGGTGTCTGCTGCACTTTATTCAGGTGTTTCACAGCTCCTGGTCCTGCCTGTACTCATGGTTTGCATCTCTTAGGGGACACAGGGCTTTGGCACCAAGAGAAGCTGCAGCTGCTGTCTGGAGCAATGCTGTGCATCTGGGGGGTGGGCTGAGGTTTTTTTGGAGTTAAATCCCTCTCAAGCCCAAAGAGCCCAAGGTGCTGGTGGCTTTTTTTGTTTGGTTTGGGGTTTTTTTTTTGGGAGTGACGTGTTGGGAATGTGGAGGGGCCTGTCCTTGTGGAGAACCCTAAGCTGTTCCTGCGTGTCAGAAATTCCATCTGAGGCACCACTGGATGTGTTGTTGCCCAAAGCCTCAGTGGTTTTCTCTGCTGCTTGCTCAGGGCTCAGCTATTACGTGTGGTAAAGATGCAAATTTAATAAGCAAAGTATGTGGGGTGGCTACTTCTGGTATTTAATAACTCACAGTGGTATGAGGTAGGCATGTCCTGCCTTCCTGACTCTGCATGATTTTTACAAACTTGAATTTTCCAGCTAGTGCAGAGATGCAGAAACTCTTGTTCTCTCTTCAGCTGCTGACCAAAATCTGGTTAAATGTTTGCTTAATTCATTGTCTGTTCCATCAAGTCTGCCAGCAGTGAAAGCTAATGGAGCACAAAGTGCTTCTCAGGCTCCCTTGAATCCTGTAAATAGCTTTGGTTCCACACAGGCATTCAAGGTGGCTGCTGGGTTTGATGTAAGAGAATTAATTTCCTTCAATCGCTTCGCTTAATGCAATTTCTCTATTTTCCCATTTTTCTTTTTCCCCTTAGAGGTCTATGGATGACACTAAAGTGCTTTAAAACTCCCGTTTTTCAGCTTTTTCCTTTAGGAGAGCTGCAGGTTTTGTTTTAACTTGGTTTTCCCACTGATGCAATCCTCTCCTTGCAGCTTCCAGGAGGCTCGTGAAGAGCTGGCTGAATTCCAGGAGGGAAGCAGGGAATTAGAAGCTGAGTTGGAGGCACAGCTAGTGCAAGCTGAGCAGAGGAACAGAGATTTGCAAGCAGATAACCAAAGACTGAAATATGAAGTGGAAACATTAAAGGTAGGTTTTTTTCTGTGGCAGTGCTGCTTTTCCTTTCAGCTGCGTCTGGGATCTCTTCTTGGATTGTCTGGGCTGCTCTTGAGCACTGAATATCCAAATAAAAAAAGGAGTTGTCTGGTTAAGATCCACACTGAAGCATGGCATGTACCCCAAATAAGGCCAGAGACGTTTCTGGCAGAATTTTTCTTGTTCACGTCATGAAACTTGGTCCTGGAGTTTGTGCTGCTTTGAATTCCCCAGGCTGTGCCAAGGAGGAGCTTTATTTGTTCCACAGGCAACATCAGCATAGCAACAGGGCACCTCACAAGGGCTTTTGTCAGGCCACTGCCTTGTCACCTTCCTTTGCAAACCAGTCTTGTTGCCCTCAGGGTCTCCCTGCTTTCATGAGACCCCAAAGAAAGCAGAAAATTGATGATTTGTGCACATCTCCCAGGGAGCCTCCAGGTCCATTCACAGCTGCATCTGTGGAGCCAGGAACTGCTGGAGGATCTGCATGTGCACAAGGTGGCTCTCAGTCGATCCCTCTGTGCTAACAATCTTGAACAAGCATCATCTTGGGCAGCCTTGGCTTATTTAGTGAAGCCAGAGGTTAGAAATTCACTCAGTGCAAGGAGGGTTTATGGGATTGCTCTGTGTCTCCAGTCCCAGCTGTACTTGCAGGGTCAGGATGTGTTTTATGAGCTCAGTGGTTTTTGTGTTTAATGAGCTCGGTGGTTTTTCCACAGCCCCTCAGAGGGTTTTTGGCAGTGGTTTCCTCAGTCTGTTGAGGGTGACTCTGTGGGCCTGGAGCTTTTGTGACGGATTTCAGCGGTCCATGTTTGCCAGTCAGAATTTCTGCTCTCGGGTGGGTGCTGTCAGGGCAGGAGCACAGAGGGGAGGGTTGCAGTTGGGTTTCTCCCTGCCTTCCTGGAGCAGCTGTCGGTGCAGGCTGGGGGCAGCAGATGCAGGGGTGCATCCCTGAGAGGCAGCTGTGCCACGGGGACACGGCTGGCTGCCACTCTGGGCTGTGGCTCAGCGTGTTCCTTCTCCCTCTCCACTTTCTGCTCTCGATTACCAGCAGTCCCAAACCAGCATTCTGCACACAGAGTGACACTTTTTGTCCCCTTCTCGTGCCGATGGCTTGGCCAGTGCCAGCGGCTGATGTTTATCTCCCTGTCCTTTGTTTCAGGAGAAACTGGAGCACCAGTATGCCCAGAGTTACAAGCAGGTGTCGTTGTTGGAGGATGACCTGAGCCAGACAAGGGCCATCAAAGATCAGCTGCACAAATATGTGAGGGAGCTGGAGCAGGCCAACGATGACCTGGAACGTGCCAAGAGGTGAAGGCTGCAAACCTCCTCTTCCCTTCAAGATTGCACCACAAAGATTTTTTTCTTTGCTACTCAGCTCGAGCATTTCATTGTTCCTTAAGGGGAAAATATCAGAAAAGCCCCAAACACCCCCAAGGCTTTGGATTGCTTGAGCAGTGCAGTTGCCCCTCATCAGCAGCTGGTTCCTGTTGCAGCAGGAGGGGCAGTGTGGTTTGTGCTCCTGTGAGGAGCAAGCCCAGAGCCAGCCAGGCCACTGCACTGCCCGTGGGGTCCCCAGCCAAGTGATTGATACTTGTGGTCCTGCTGCCTCAGAGCCCCTTTGAAGTCAGAGTCTCCTGCTTTCCACAGTCCTGTTCAATCAGCCAGGCCACAGGAGTGTCCTGGTGCCTTGCAGAGCAGCTGGAGGGAGCAGCCCTGCCCTTTCCAAGTGCTGGAATGAGCAGGCTGCTGCTGGGAACACCCAGTCTGGGAGGAGGTCATGCTTCCCTTCTGCTGAGTGGGAATTCTGCCATTGATTCAGGGAGAGCAGGAATGAGCCTCTGGCCATCTGGAAAAAAGGTCTGAGAGCTGAGCCCTGTTTGCACAAGGCTCTTAAGCTCATGGCTAACTGTTACTCTGGTTTTGGGAGGAATTGGGTGTTAGGTCATGTCCCAGTGCTCTGCTGCCCACCTTGCAGAGCCTGAGAGCTGAGCTGGGGCACTGATTAATGCTCAGCTTGGGAGCAGGGCTGGGGGAAAGAGGAGCTGGCTCTTTCCCACATCCTTGGTACATCTGAGAGCCAGGTGCTGTCGTGTTCTTCTCATCTTTTTCTCCTGTTTCTTTGATGACTCCTTTCTAAGAAGCATTTCCATGGCTTTCAGGTGCTTACCTTGAACATAGCCCTGCTAACATTTTCCTTCTGTTATGCTTTTGAATAAGCTTTTATGCTGGCTGAGCTGAAGAACCTAATATTCTGGATTTTGTTTCTAGGGCAACAATAGTTTCATTGGAAGACTTTGAACAAAGGCTGAACCAAGCTATTGAGAGAAATGCATTTTTAGAAAGTGAACTGGATGACAAGGAGTCATTGCTGGTCTCTGTACAGAGATTAAAGGATGAAGCAAGAGGTATGGCTGGTCTGGTTGGTTCTGGCTCCTGGTGCAGGGTTGGTTTGCTAAAAGAGATGTGCAGCAAGCCAAGCTCATGTTTCTGGAAAGGCTCACATGATGAGACTTGAACTACATGCTTTAGGTTTTACTAACAGTGTGTTGTTCTTTGTGTGTCCAGTGTAGCCAAAAAGAAAAACTTCCTCATTTAGGGCAGAATTAATAATTGATGGATTCAGGATTTTTAATACAAAAACACTCTGTTCCACAGATATCAGAGAATGGAGGAAGTTGCTTCACAAGTTCCTCTTGCTGTGGGTTTATAGGAAGGGAAAGCACAGGGAATGACAGGGAAATACAGGAAAAATTATCAAGTAACTCTTAAAAGAAATCTCCTGTGCTCCTTCTAAGCCCCTTGCAAATTGCCTTAAATATATTATTTAATATGTTGTGGCAAAGGCTGTGTTTAGACCTGTGGGAGGTGTTTGGGGTGGTGTTCTGGGATGAGATCAGGAGCTGGACATTCCCCAGGGCAATCACACTGAGGATGCTGGGGAAGCTTTTTTAATGGTGCTAGAAACTGATTCCTCTAACAGTGGAGCTGATCTGCTCATAGCCTGTGCCAGCCAATAATGGCTGTAGAGACTGGTGCTTTGCAGCTTTGTTCCCTAAATGAAGCTTTCTAAAATATTTCCTCATTTAAGGCCTGCAGCTCAGTGTAAGAACACACCTGACAGCAGGCTGAGATTTTTTGTTGTTTTTCTCCTTTGTGAACCTTTTTGAAGCAAGTTTGTGCCCCAGAAATTGAGAGCTTTATTGGAAGCACAGGGATTTTGAAATAAATATGAAGAAAGACATTTTCTGAGGAAGTATATGTATTGTAGTGTGAGATTAGGGCAATAAAACTGGGAAAACCAGCAAAAGCCAGGGGACTGTTTTCCAGAACACTGGAACAATCAGCAAAACAGGTATCTTGTTTCTTAGATGAGTCATTTGGACATTTTTAGCATTTGTGAGTTATTCCCCCTGGCAGCAAGCAGGAGCAGTAGCCTCTAAAAGAACTGGTACTGTCCAACTCAAATCTGACATTTCTGACTGAGCAGCCTCAGATCCTCTTCTGGGAGCCCAGACACATTTTCACTTCAGCTCTGCTGTTTTACCTAAAATCAGCTCTAAGCATTTGCTACAGCTGAAAAGCTGTGATGTGCAGGTAATTTTGCTTTTGTACCAGATTGGGGCAAGGAATAGGAGGTCTGTGAAAGTGAAGCTGCTCTGCCCAAAAAGGAACAATTCACTTGTAATGTTTGTTTGCGTCTTTCTGAGGGTTTGAGAGATCCCTTGCTGGGCTGTGCTGGGTGTTCTTTGTAGCAAAAAGCTGTGCAAAGGGAAGGGATAAGCTGCAATCTGGGGAGCAGATGGGAATAAAGCCAGGCTTTTCTAAGGCCCAGTCCTTTGGACTGCCCTCCAGTCTGCCCTGTTACTTGTCAGGGCATCAAGGAGCTGGGTGCAACCCTTGGACTGCCTTTGGCTTGTGTGATTATTAACTGGGGGGGATGTAGGGAATGGGAAGCACAGGAGCAGGGCACTGCTGTGTTTGAGCAGGAGCTGGGCTCAGCAGCAGCAGCAGCTCTTTGTGTCCAGCTGCAGTTCTGGTAATGTGGAGCTCACACTGCAAATGGGGAGAAATCCTGAGGCAAATCAGCTGCCCCATCCCAGGGACAGGGAGCTGTGTGGGGCAGGCAGGGCTGTTTGCTCTGGGATGGTGGAGCAAAACAGGTATCTTGTTTCTTAGATGAGTCATTTGGACATTTTTAGCATTTGTGAGTTATTCCCCCTGGCAGCAAGCAGGAGCAGTAGCCTCTAAAAGAACTGGTACTGTCCAACTCAAATCTGACATTTCTGACTGAGCAGCCTCAGATCCTCTTCTGGGAGCCCAGACACATTTTCACTTCAGCTCTGCTGTTTTACCTAAAATCAGCTCTAAACATTTGTTACAGCTGAAAAGCTGTGATGTGCAGGTAATTTTGCTTTTGTACCAGATTGGGGCAAGGAATAGGAGGTCTGTGACAGTGAAGCTGCTCTGCCCAAAAAGGAACAATTCAACAATTCACTTGTTTACAATTTATTGTAAAAATTACAATTCACTTGTAATGTTTGTTTGCATCTTTCTGAGGGTTTGAGAGATCCCTTGCTGGGCTGTGCTGGGTGTTCTTTGTAGCAAAAAGCTGTGCAAAGGGAAGGGATAAGCTGCAATCTGGGGAGCAGATGGGAATAAAGCCAGGCTTTTCTAAGGCCCAGTCCTTTGGACTGCCCTCCAGTCTGCCCTGTTACTTGTCAGGGCATCAAGGAGCTGGGTGCAACCCTTGGACTGCCTTTGGCTTGTGTGATTATTAACTGGGGGGGATGTAGGGAATGGGAAGCACAGGAGCAGGGCACTGCTGTGTTTGAGCAGGAGCTGGGCTCAGCAGCAGCAGCAGCTCTTTGTGTCCAGCTGCAGTTCTGGTAATGTGGAGCTCACACTGCAAATGGGGAGAAATCCTGAGGCAAATCAGCTGCCCCATCCCAGGGACAGGGAGCTGTGTGGGGCAGGCAGGGCTGTTTGCTCTGGGATGGTGGGGTGGGATCATGGGATGGGAAAATGGGGTGGGATAATGGGGTGGGATAATGGGATGGGAAAATGGGATGGGATAATGGGGTGGGATAATGGGATGGGAAAATGGGGTGGGATCATGGGATGGAAAATGGGGTGGGATCATGGGATGGGGCTGCTCTGAGGGCTGTCCCCACTGCTGGAGGAGGCACTAACCCAGGATTGGTGGGAAGTGTCTGCTGCTGCCCCTCCCAAATGAACAGAGACAGTGTTTGTGAGAGAATCAGTCACTAATAGGGGATTTTATGGGTTTTTTTCCTGCTCTCCACCCTCAGACCTGCGGCAGGAGCTGGCTGTGAGGGAAAGGCAGCAGGAGGTGACAAGGAAATCAGCACCCAGCTCCCCCACTCTGGACTGTGAGAAGATGGATTCAGCTGTCCAGGCCTCTCTCTCCTTGCCAGCTACACCCGTTGGAAAAGGATCAGAAAATAGTTTTCCTTCCCCAAAAGGTACCACCCATAGGAACGGGGTCTGGCTGTGCTCCTCGAGGAGCCAGAGGTGGATGGGGTGTGGATCTCCCACACTTCCAGCTGTGTGCTTGAATCCAGGGCAGCAGCAGCTGCATTTCAGGAGTGAGAGCATGGCAGAGGACAGTGAAGCTTAGGCACTGCCTTTGGGGGCAGGCAGGGTTTGCACTCTGCACCGGGGCCCTGAAGTTATTTGGGAATGCAGGGGAGTGCAGGGACTGGGAATTGTGCTCAAATGTGCAGCAGCAGTGGTGGGTGAGCACGGTCAGGAGCGTGGAGTCTGTCACCACACTGCCTTCTCGGGGGTCCTGTGGGATCTCAGTGCAGCCCCTCTGCCCATCTGGAGGGCTCTGGGCAGTCACAGGGATTAGCAGTGGATGTTTCAGAGGAGGAAGGGGGATTGCAGAGGGAGCTCTGCCTGCTGGGATGGATTGCAGTCAGTAGCCTTGCAGATGGAGAGTGCATGAACTCTGCCTGGGGGGGCTGATTGCAGCCAGGGCAGTGAGCAGGAATTAAGCTTTATCATTCTCCCTGCCTGGTGATCCTGCAGTTACTGTGGGTAATTGTATGAAATGTCTGCAGCAAGATTCTAGATATGTTTGGGGTTTTTTTTTTTTTCATCTAGAAGCTGATTTATTTAAATTTTTGAAAAACCTGAGCTGTGGAGGAGTGAAGTAATGAGAGGTGTCTGTGTTTGCAGCTATACCAAATGGGTTTGGTACCAGCCCACTCACTCCCTCAGCTCGAATATCTGCACTCAACATCGTGGGAGATCTGCTACGCAAAGTGGGGGTGAGTGCTCTGAGCTCTGGCTCTCCCTGGGGCTCCTGGCCCTGTGCTCCATCCCAGACAGCCTGGGCTGTGCTGGGTGCTTCTGGAGCTGCCAAATCATCCACTCGCTGCTCAGTATTTGATAATGCTTCATTTTTTGAAATTATTTTGATTTTTAAAGCCTGATCCTATGGTTCTGAGTCCAGTCTGTGGTGACAAAATTCATGTTTGGAAGAAAAATTTTTCAAGTGTTGGGTTAGACACTGCCAACTTGTTTCTTACCTTAACTGGGCCTGCAGCTTCCTCTGCCTGGGCTGCAGGGCTGGAGCTCAGGCCCTGGGTGAGGAGGAGCTGGGGTCACCCTGCCAGGGTGGGACAGCTCCTCTCCCACTGAGATCTGCCACAGAAAGAAAAACCAGCCTGGAAGCCTTTGGTAAGAAAGTGAGAAAATAAATGAGGAGAAAGCCAAATAAATGAGGAGAAAGCCAAATGCTCCCATCTGTGGCTGGTGGGGAAGTGAAGTGCATGAGCCTTTAAAGGGATTACACTGTCAGCAGAGAAAACTGCTCTGAACATCTGCTGCAGTGCTGTTCAGGACCCAGGCTCTCCCCTTGGAAGAAGAAATGAGTTTTGAGCTGCCAGGAGCTTCTCTGAGCCGTGGAGGTTGAGTGTGAGTGGAGCTCAGGGCAGCTGGGGCTGGCTCTGCCCTGTGCCAGCCTGTGCAGCCACGCTGAGCCTCCAGGAGCTGCACTGCAGACTGTTGTTTTAGCAGGCTTGGGCATGAAAAATGCCTGGCTGCTCTCCTTTGGGCTCAGCCCTGCTTTGAAAGGGCAGCAGGACAGCTCGGGGTTAGCAGTGCCACGTTTCAAAGGGGATCATTGTGAGGAAGAGGCTGCAGGGGATTTGGGGAGCTTAGTGCCAATCCCGTGTGATTGCTGTGCCAGGACAGGAAATGCCAAATAAGCAAGCAGCTCTCCAGGCTGCCCTGAGCCAGGGCTCCAGCTCAGGCACTGCTCTGGGAGCAGTCAGAGGGTGCTCAGCTTCTTTGGGGTTTGGCTGTGCCCCATCCCAAGCTTTGCACTCCCTGTCTCTGCAGGATTTCCCTCTGCTCTCCTGCCTGCAGCTGAGGCAGGGCTCAGGTCACACTGCCCATGGCCAGGGGACAGCCTGTGACATCCAGTTACCTACAGCTGCCTGCATAGTCCATAACCCCTAAATAAACTTCCATGGGTTCCTAGGGCTCACCTGTGGCAGCATGTCAGTGCCCTCTTGATGGAATATTCTGTGCAGAAAGGACCAAACCCCACACTGGGGAGATGAATTTCAGTCTTCAGAATGCACAGAGGGCTGTAACGAGTGAGGACTGTCTGTTACACCACGTGGATCTTCAGGATAAGGTGGATATTCAGCCTCTGATGGGGGCAGAAAGGGCAGGTGATGCTCTGGACTAAAGGGAGAATCAGGATGTTGCTCTTCCTTCCTTCACTGGCACTTTACATGGGGGAAAAGCCTCACCAGGCCTGTTTGGAAGGGTGGCAGTGAAACTTCAGAAATTTACTTTATTTTGCAAGCCAAGATTAAGAAAGAAATTCCAGGAGGCATTGTCCTGGTGAAAAAAAAAACAACTTTCCACGTGCATAGTCCCTCTCAAAGCTTAGGATTCTGCTTTAGGCTCTCAGTGTTCTGATCAGCTCAGGGCAGCTGCTGAAGCAAGAAATTTGGGTAACTTCTGCTGGGATTTGGCTTCCTTGTCTTGGGTAATTATTTCAGAGTTCATCTGTTCTAGAATCTGAGCCCTCGTGGAGCTGAGTAATGTCTGGCAGTCTGCATCAGCATCTGTGTGTTTCCTTTGTGGTGGGGTGACGAGGAAATGACAGCTTTGTTCCCATTTTCTTGCCAAGGGTGATCACACTGCAGTCCTGACCGTGGCAGTCTCAGGCTCACGAGCAGCAAAATACTTCCTCCTCATGGTATCACTTTTTTAACACTGTTCTTTCCTCCCCTTTCACAGGCCTTAGAATCCAAACTAGCTGCTTGCAGGAATTTTGCGAAGGACCAGGCATCACGGAAATCCTACATTTCAGGGAACGTCGGCAGCGCCGTGCTGAGCAGCAACGGCACAAAGTACCCAGGGCACACGTCCTTCTTTGACAAGGGGTGAGTGGGGCACGGCTGTGCCCTCGGGCAGGGCTCTGGAGCCCTGCTCGTGCCTGCTCCTCACTGCTCTGCTGTGGGAGAAGCAGCTCGTGGAGCAAGGGCTGGTGCGGGGGTTTGGGTGAAGCAGAGAGAAAAGCGGTGTGGGGATGGCAGTGCCACCCCTGCCTCGTGTCCTGGTGGCTGTGCCAACCCCAGGCAGCGAGGAGTGAGCCCTCTGGGGCATCTCAGGGGCACAGGAGGGGCTGCCAGGCTGCAGGTGTGCTCTGGAGAGCCACAACTGGAGATTCCCTGCAGAGCTGAGGGCAGGCAGGGATGTTCCCTGCGAGGGATGGAGGGATGGAGGGAGTCCTGGTGCTCACACCCCTCCGGGAGGGGAGGGATGAACCATTGCTGGTGGAATTGTGGCTCCTCCCTGCTGTGAGCCAGCCTGGGAGGCAGGGATTGCTTTCCTGGGAACGAGGAGCCCGTGTCTGCCGTGCTCAGAGCTCCCTCTGGGATGCTGGCAGTGCTTCTGCAGGAGAGATTTCGGGTTCCTCACAGCACAGGGCCCTGAACAGAGGTGGAAAGCACAGTTCAACGGTGGTGCTGAGGGCAAACAGCCTCCGTGCTCCCTGTCTTCACGTCAAACCTCAGTGCTGCTATCAGCCCTCCCTCAATCCTGCATTTATTTCAGAGAATGAAAGCAGCTGGTTCCAGCCTGGAAGTGCCAGAGCAGCCAGCTGAGCTCCCCACATCCATCCTCAGTGGGGCTGTGTGGGGAGCAGGGCAAGCTGCACCTTCAAAACTGGCACTGGGAGCTTCTGGAGCCACTGGTGATTGCTGCTTTTGGGAAGGAAGGAAGGATTCAGAGCCTTGAAGCCCTGTGCAGATCAGCCTTTTGGGCTGGGTGTGCTGCAGGGCTGGGGGTGTGCCTCCCCCAGCAGGGCTCCTGCAGTGCTGGGGAGGGATTATGGCAGCGTGGCTATATTGAGGTGTGCTGTGACAAATAAGCTGATTGCTCTCTGGGGTGGGGGTCACTTCTAATTATGCAGATTGTCATCACACTCCTTAGCCGGGCTGGCTGCCTGGAGGGGGGAGCAGGCTGGGGCTGAGGGAGGCTGAGACAGCCTGGAAGGAGGTGCTGCAGCAGAGCTGGGGGTGGTGGTGGACAGGGACAGGGCTGGCAGTGGTTCATGTGCCCATCTGCAAGGTGCCAGAGGTGCTGCAGGGCCCCACTGTGCTGTCCTTGTCCCCTGCAGCCCGTGTGCTGCTCCCAGGCTGTCCCTTCAGGCCCTCTGTGCCAGCAGGGGCTGGCAGTGCCCGTGCTGAGCCCCAGGGCTGCTCTGCAAAGCCTGGCTTGGCCCTGGCAGCTGGACTGGGGGAGCAGCCCTGACCCAGCTGTGAGTGTGACTCTGCTCCAGGTGTAACCCTGACCCAGGTGTAACCCTGACCCAGCTGTGAATGCAGCCCTGCTCCAGGTGTGAATCTGCTCCAGCTGTGAGAATAACCCTGACCCAGCTGTGAGTGTGACTCTGCTCCAGGTGTAACCCTGACTCAGGTGTGAGAGTAACCCTGCCCCAGGTGTGAATGACACAGCTGTGAGTGCAGCCCTGCTCCAGGTGTGAATCTGCCCCAGCTGTGAGTGCAGCCCTGCTCCAGTCTGCAGCCCTGCCCCAGCAGCAGCTGGTGCCTGAGTGCTGGCTTGGGCAGAGATAACTCAGCCACACCATTGTAGCTCGGTTTGTTTTCCTCCTCCTTCCATTTCATTGAAATATTTGAGGTGTCTCCAGCTCTTGTCAAGCCCCTGTTTTAGGGGAGGCCTGGAGCACAGCAGGGCTTGCACCAAAGCTTGGCTGCAGAGCTGGGGGAGTCAGGGTTTATCTGCTTCTCTAAAACTCAGCAGTGTCTAGTGTAAGATCAGTTTCCTGCAGATTTGTCCCTTCAGGAACAGGCAGGTTCTGTCCAGATGCCAGGGAATGGCACAACAGCACCTGAGGATGGTCTCAGGATGGATGCTTGTATCTTGCTGTTGTAATCATTGTTAATTGGTTGTTACTGTCAGTCCAGTTTTGTTCAGGAAACAGAAGTGCTCTGGGTTCTGCAGGGCCCTGGCACTGCACAGCCAGCCTTGTTCCCCTGCCTGCAGCCCAGGGTCCTCACAGCTGCTGTTTATTCTTGGCTTTCTTGTCAATCCCTTGGGCTTTGTTTTAATGACAGGAGCTGCAGTTTAAGGTGAGAAGTGCCTGTGCTCACATACAGCAGTCACAGGTGGCTCTGCACTGTTACCCACAGCCCTGACCAGAACTCCAGGCTGGGAAAGCTGGGTCTTCTCCAGCCCCTGACCCAGCTCGTGGAAAGGTTTCCCTGGGAGGGGGAGCTGTGGTGGCTCAGCTGCCACAGAAGGGCTGTGCTGTGCTGTGCCCACTGTGCAGAGCTCACAGCACAGCTTTGCTGAGCCTTGGCTGAGCACCTGTGCTTGGCCCCAGCTGCTGCCTCCAGGGCTGTGCTCAGCAATGTCATTTTTGTGTGCATAAACTTTCCCTTTCTCTCCACTAGGCGTGAGGAGGTGATATTCCCCACCCTGGTCATGGGTAAATGAATTCATTTGCACTGATTGGCTGCATGTGGTGTAACCTGGGGCTTGGGGCAGATCTGGGGCTCTGCTAACTGCACGAGGTAGTTGGTAGTGCCACACTAATGGGCCCTGATCAAAGCCTGAGGCTGCTCTTTCTCCTGACTTGAAATAAACCTCTCTGCTGCTGTGACCTGTTGCAGACATAAGCCTGAGTGCTGCTTGCTTTCTTCATCTGTTTAACACTTCAATGAGTGCATGTTTCTGATGGAACTGGTCACAGCAGGGGTGCAGGGCAAGCTTCATGGATGGAGTTCGTGTGCAAGGTTTGCCCTCTGGCTGGGATTTTCCTTCAGCATTTTGTGGTTCTTGACCTGCTGATTGCAGTGGTGTGGTTGTGGCTGGCAGGAAAGCAAAGAAGGGCACAGGTGCCTGGGAGCAGGGAGGGGACAGTGTGGGTAGGGACAGCAGTGTCCCTGCTCTGTGTCACTGTCCCTGCCCAGCTGTGGCAGCACCTGGGGCAGTTCCAGAGCTCCTGTGCAGTTCCAGGTCTCCAGGTGTGCTTTACCAGCTCCATCTCCCCTTCAGGCCAGGCTGCTCAGCTCCAGAAAAATCTTCCACCGAGGATTTGTTGGATACTTAGAGCTGAGGGAGTCTTGGGCATGAGGTGCTAAGTACAAAATACAGCTTGAAATGCAGATTAACGAGTCCAAATTAGTAATCAGGGCAGAGAGTGGTTGGCCATGGACACAAAGTCCATGGCACTGCAGGGACAGGCAGTCAGAACCATCCCTGAGGAACCACTGCAGGGACATTTCCAGCAGGAATGCTGCTCCTGGCTGGCTGGAGATGTGTCAGGGCACAGTGGAAAAGCTGCTGGAGCCACAGGCTCCTGTGCCACCCCCAGGGAGGGCAGGTGCTGCACAGCTCCCGAGGACACTGGGGAAGGGGAGCCTCTGGATCCTGGGGTTCAGCACTGGGAGCCTCCCCTGCAGCCCAGGGGGGACTGGGGGGACACAGAGCCAGCTCTGCTGGGCTGTGACACTGCTGAGTGTGAGTGTGTGACCTCCTGGGCACAGGGACACGGGGCTGTGCCACAGGGACATGGGGCTGTGCCATGGCTGTGCCACAGGGACACAGAGCTGTGCCATGGCTGTGCCATAGGGACACAGGGCTGTGCCATGGCTGTGCCACAGGGACACAGGGCTGTGCCACAGGGACACGGGGCTGTGCCACAGGGACACAGAGCTGTGCCATGGCTGTGCCACAGGGACACAGGGCTGTGCCATGGCTGTGCCACAGGGACACAGAGCTGTGCCATGGCTGTGCCACAGGGACACAGAGCTGTGCCATGGCTCCAGCACAGGGCACTCATGCTGGGGCAGGGACAGGTGGGGCCAGCCCTGAGGGATGCCCTGACCCTGCCCAGCCCCTCGGTGACCCCCAGCAGGCTCAGGCTCTGCAGCCACTCATCCTCCTGGGACAGTCACCTCGGCCAGGCCGTGCCAGCTCCAGCCCTGGCGTGGCACCGAGCTGGCAGCAGAGCTGGGGCCCGTGCTGCCCTGCTCCCAGAACAGAGGAGGGAGGAGCAGGGTCAGTTCCAGTGCCTGTCCTGGCTGCTGCTCCCCTAACAGGCTGTCTCTTGTCCCCAGGGCAGTGAACGGCTTTGACCAAGGGCCCCCCGGCCTGGGGGGCTCCCGACCGTCCTCGGCGCCGGGAATGCTCCCCCTGAGCGTATGAGCCCGCAGGGGCTTGGACTCGGATGCTTTTCTCAGCCCAGCTCGAGAAGAACTGCTCCTGATTCCTCCCCCTTCCCACTGGAACATGACCCCGAGAGGAGACCCCGAGCCCACGGCCCTCCATGTCCTGTCAATACAGTTTGTTTTCTGCTGTCGCTGTAGTGGACGTTCTCTGCCCCGGCCCCACCAGCTGCCACCCTCTGCTGTGCTTGGGGACACCGAGTCCTGCTCTGCTTGGGGACACCGAGTCCTGCTGTGCTTGGGGACAGGCAAGTTTGGGGACACAGAGTCCTGCTCTATTTGGGGACAGGCAGGTCTGGGGACACCGAGTCCTGCTCTGTCTGGGGGACAGGCAAGTCTGGGGACACCAAGTCCTACTGTGCTTGGGACACAGAGTCCTGCTCTGTTTGGGGACAGGCAAGTCTGGGGACACCGAGTCCTGCTCTGTTTGGGGGACAGACAAGTTTGGGGACACCAAGTCCTGCTGTGCCTGGGGACAGGCCCAGCCTCGCCCCCTTGGCTTTCCCTCTCCTCTCAGTGTGACAGAGCCTTGGCTGCTCCTCTGACAGCTCCCCTGTCCCTGTCCCTGTCCCTGCCAGGCCCTGCAGCTGCTGCTCTCAGACCTCTGGAAGTGCCCTGGGCTGGCCAGCGGTGGCCCTGGGGCCGTTGGCACTCGGGAGCCAGCCCCAGGTGCTGTCTCAGGGGCAGCTGCACCCGGGGCACTCAGAGCAGGGCTGGGTGAGCAGCTCCAGCCTGGCCAGGCCGGCTCCATCCCCGCTGGACAGCTGGACACACACACAGAGCCAGGCTCTGTGCCCATCCCAGCCCCCAAATGCCTTGGCAGGGCCTGGCATGGCTGAGATGCTCTCCCTGGGGCCCTGCCCTGGTGCAGGATGGCAGTGCTGTGTCCAGGGGCTCAGGTGTCCCCAGGGCTGCCCCTCAGCTCCCTGGCCTCTGTCCCTCACCCCACACACAGCGACCCCATGGGAGCTTTAGGAAGCTGCTGCTCCCCCTGGCCCCAGGAGCCCCCTGCCCATCACCCCTGTGCTGTAGGACTGGACTGTGCAGCCTCACCTGCTGCCTGCTGTGACAGTTTGGGGCCACTGAACCTTGTGGGTCTTTCAAGCGACACATTTGTGTGGTTTCTCTGTCCATGTGCCTCAGAGTCAGTGGATTTTTATTCTGAACCAGCAAATGGAGCCAGGGTTGGAGCTGAGGGTTCAGCAGTTGTTGGTCAGGGGCTCTGCAGTTCCCAGGTGGTTGAGTTACAGATGCTGAGAAAAAAACCCCACTGGCCCAGCAGTGGAGGTGGGATTGTCCCTTTGCCATTAGGGTTTGTATGGTCCTTCCTTCCTGTGCATCCTCTGCTGCATTTGACTGTTTACATTTGTTTTATTGTACATAGATTTGTAAACATAATACCTTTGCCTGAGGTCTTTGTACATAACTTGGGCTTTGTAGCTTTATTTATTCAGCCTCTCTCTGGCATGTTTCCATAGGATGTACCGTTCCACCCTGGTGCCACTGACATGATGTGGTTTCGAAAGAATGAAAACAAATGAGAGTAATCTTCCAAAAATAAAGTTCTTTTAATGTGGAATCAGTGGATTTTGCAGAACCAGTGGCCGTGGCTCTTCCTTTGTCCAGCAGGGTTTCCTGCCAAGCCCCGGGGAGGGGGGTGGCAGTGTTCAGGCAGTGCCACATATCCCACACCCCTTCCCTTGGGAATGTGGCTCAGTTTGGGCACAGGGGAAGGCACTGCTGGGGCCATCCCAGCCTCTGCTGCTGGCACTGAGGCGGGGACACGATATTTCACTTGGGGACGTGTTGGAAGCCTCCAGCTGAGCCTTCTGGGGGATTTTTGCTTCCTTAGAGCAGCTGGAAGGAGTTTCCTGTGCACAGGAGCCGGGCTGGGGCCCTTCCAGGGCTGCTCCATCCCCTCCCGGGCTGCTCCATCCCTTCCAGGGCTGCTCCATCCATTCCCGAGCTGCTCCATCCCCTCCCGAGCTGTTCCATCCCCTCCCGAGCTGTTCCATCCCCTCCCGGGCTGCTCCATCCCTTTCCCGGGCTGTTCCATCCCTTTCCCGAGCTGCTCCATCCCCTCCCGGGCTGCTCCATCCCTTTCCCGGGCGGTTCCATCCCTTCCCGGGCTGCTCCATCCCTTTCCCGAGCTGCTCCATCCCTTTCCCGGACTGCTCCATCCCTTTCCCGAGCTGCTGCATCCCTTTCCCGGGCTGCTCCATCCCTTCCCGGGCTGTTCCATCCCCTCCCGGGCTGTTCCATCCCTTTCCCGGGCTGCTCCATCCCCTCCCGTGCCCGGGGCTGTGCCTGTGCCGCTGCTGCCGCTCTCCGGCCGCGCTCGGCTCCGTCCCGGGTCCCGCTGTCCATTCCCGGGGCTGTGCCCGTGTCCTGCCCGGGGCTGTGCCCCTCTCCTGTCCCTGTCCATCCCCGGGGCTGTGCCCCTCTCCTGTCCCTGTCCTGGGGGCCCTGGCCCTGCAGGGACACCCCAGGCAGGTTCCACCCTGCTCCTCTGGAGCTGCCAGCTCCTGCCAGAGCCTCAGACCCCCAGTCCAGCGGGGTCACCCTCCCCATGGCCACCCCTTCTCCCCGTTACTGCCCTCCCCTCTCCCTCCTCCCCTCCCACCCATCCGGGGGCCCACCCTGGTCCCAGACCCAGCCAAAGTTCCCACCCTGGGCTCCAGCTCCTGCAGCTCCCAGGCCTTTCCTGCCCAGCTCCAGGGCAGGTTCTGCACCTCAAGACCCCAAAATAAGGGATGTGACTGCTCAGGCAGGAGCCCAGAGCCTGTGCCACAGCACTGAGTGGCAGCAGCAGAGCTCAGAGTCTCTTTGTGCTCCAGCTGGGCCCTGCCAGCAGCATTCAGAGGCAAAGGCTCAGCTCGGACCAAGCCATTGATGCTGTATTTAGGTCAAAATAAAAGGGAAAAAAAAACCCAGCAAGCAAACAAAACAGGAAGAAGGGAAAAGGCAGCTTCCAGTCATATCTCGTTTATTAAGGTCTATGCCAGCCTCGGGAGAGCTCTTCCAGTAAGTAAACAGAGCAGGCGGCCGCATCTATAATGAATAAATTTATTGTCTTACAAAAATCATTGTCTAGAAATATGGGTATACAAGAAAACAAGATATTTGCAGTCAGACGCCTGGTGGTCAACAGCCAGTTTGATTAAAAATATCCAAACACACACAACAAAACCTTTGCGACAGATGTTAAAGCTTTTAACCAAAAAGGGAAATCCATGGGTTTTGAGCATGTGGCAGAGGAAGTTTCCTAGTTAACACTGATTCATTGTCACTAATATCAATAATACCACTTGGACTAGAGAGGTACATGATATGAAGCACAGTCAAAATTAATACATTAAATCATTGTTATATAGGCAAATTATATATGTAACGTTGTCTTAGTACTGTAGTGTCTAAGGCACTTTCTGTAATGTCAGTTTTCAGCTATTTAAACAAAAAGAACGCTAACTACTCACTGTAATACTGCTCAAAATAAAAAAAAAAACAACAACAAAACAACAACAAAAAAAAAAAAGGATTCACATCCACTGGCATGTTAACTGTAGGCAGGCAACATCCATCCATCCAGGGCAGGAGCTCCGAGCCCCGGCCCCACAGGACCAGGGCCCCAGAGCCTCCCACGGCCTCACATTAATAAATTATTGTGCCTGTGCTGTGTGTTTGTTTCCCAGCGCTGTTCACACGAGCCAGCCCGGGTGCCTGCAGGGGGCTCTGGCACCGCGGGCCGAGCGGGGACGGGACCCACCTCGGTGTGCCTGGACTGCATGGACACGAACGGATGGAGCGGGTGCTGAGAACACTTCAAATGGGATTGCAGGATAAAAACGACACTACCACTCATCCCTACACTTCCCTCTAACACTTCCCAAGGCCGTTTTTCACAGTTCACTCAGGGGGGTGTGTGCGGATCACAACAATTGGGAGAAAAGAAAGAAACGGGAGCGGTTTGGTCTTCACTGATCCGAGAGGCTGCGGCCAGCCCGGAGCCTGAAGGATGCTGCTGGACACAAGGCATGCACAGCCACGGCAAGGGGTCTGTCCTGGCCCCCCACCCGCTGGGAATGACGCTTCTGGATTGATAAAAAAAAGTTTCATCCTTCACATGATGCTTTATAAAATGGCTTTACAATGAGTATCTGGAAAAGAGATGCACTGAACAGAGACGATCCCGGTTGTTTACTATATATAAAAAAGCAGTTGTACCTATATCTGAAGCAGGGTACAGTGTGGTGAGGCTGGAGAGCCTTAAGACATGGTTGACCTATGATAAGGAACCTTGTAGCACATGCCGAGGGTCGTAAGGCAGCTTTCCGGCCACAAGGCAGTTCCGAGGGCAGGCAGGGCGCCCGGGGCGCTCCCGCGGGGCTGGAAAGGTCTCTGCATGCAGGCGGGGCCGGCCGCTACTCGGCGGGGGCGGGAGGAGCCTCGTTCACGTCGCTGCCTTTGCTCTCCGCGTCGTCGTCCGACAGCTCCAGCGAGGCGCCCTCGATGTGCAGCTGCCGCCGGCCCGAGCGGCTCGAGGAGAAGGTGATGGGGCCCCCCCTCCTGCGAACGGAGAGCAGCGCTGGGAGAGGCTCCGGCACCGCCCGGGCCAGCCCGGGAGCACGGCAGTGCCCACCCTCCCAGGGAAGGACTCCTTCCCAATATCCCATCCATCCCTGCACTGTCAGGAATATCCCTGTGGAATATCTGGCAGCTTCCTTGCTCTCACCACCAGGCTCCAGTTTGAGCCATCCCCTAATCCCAGCAGCTCCCCAGCTGGATGTTCCCCAGGGGGGTCTGTGGGCTCGGAAGGGCTCAGGTCAATCCCAGTCCCAGTGTTCCAGGGGCACTGACCTTAGCCTGTTCTTGAGGGTGCTGACCTCCCTGCTCAGCCCCTCGTTGGCCTCCGTGGCATCGTCCAGCTCTCGCTGCAGCTTGCGCCGCGACGCGTTGGCGCGCGTGGCCTCCTCCTCTGCCTCCTCCAGCTGCCGCTTCAGCTGCTTCATCCTGGCGTTGGCCTTCTCCATCTGCAACCAAGCCAGCACTGGGGGTCACCCCGCAGCTGCAGCCCTGCCCTGGGATGCAGCACAGCCCTGCCCAGGGATGCAGCACAGCCCTGACCAGGGATGCAGCACAGCCCTGCCCAGGGATGCAGCACAGCCCTGCCCAGGGATGCAGCACAGCCCCGACTGGGGATGCAGCACAGCCCGGACCAGGGATGCAGCACAGCCCGGACCAGGGATGCAGCACAGCCCTGCCCAGGGATGCAGCACAGCCCTGCCCAGGGATGCAGCACACTCATGCAGGCTCCAGCCTGGACCCCAGAACACCACGGAGCTCCCGGCCCTGGGAGAGCAGGGTGGGAACAGCCCATCCCAGCAAAGCTCACACACACAGGGAGAGTCCCTGCTGGGCTTTCCCTGCTGGTTTCATCACCACTCTAATTCCCTTTCCACTACAGTTGCTCTTCACAAGCCCTTCCCACCCCAGGAGGTTTTTCTGAGCCCCCACCCACCTGCTCCTTGTACTGGTCCGCGTGGCGCCGCTCGTCCTCCACCTGCATGAAAACCTCCTTCAGCTTCTTCTCCGTGCGCCGCACCAGCTTGTTGGCAGCTGCTCTTTCCCTGCAACAGCCCAAAGGCATCGCTGCTCCCACTGCTCAGGGCTGGCAGCACGAGATCTGCCCCCCCGAGGTGCAACTGGCACAGCTCTGAACGTGCCAGGCACAGCAATGCAACTGATGCATGTGCCAGGGGCTGGCTGGGAGGAGGGGATGGAGGGATGGAGTGATGCAGGGATGTAGGGATGTAAGGGTGCAGGGATGCAGGGATACAGGGATGTAGGGATGCAAGGATGCAGGGATGTAAGGATGCAGGGATGCAGGGATGCAGCTCTCAGAGCACAAAGCCTTAGCCCTGGGGCAGTGTGAGCATGGCACAAAGAGGACTCAGAGGGTGCCTTCACAAAGAGATTGGACAGAGCAGCTTTACAGATGCTGCTCAACCAGTAACACAATCCTGCTGCAGAGCTCAGAGCAGAAAAAGGAGAGAGGTGGTGGCAGGACAAGCCCCACCTGCAAACAGGGGGAGGAACCAGCTAAAGAAGTGAATTTTAAGAATAGGATTCAAGGAGAGATGGATAATTCACGCAGAAAGACTTCTGGAGAGCACAGGATTCATCTCAGGCTGTCCCACACAAGCTGTTCCTCTAAGCAAGCACCCAGGGGACATTTCATCTTGTCCCAGGAAACTCTTGCAGCACCCTGTGGCTCTGGGACATCAACACCTTGCAGAGTTCATGCAGCTGGTAGGAAGCAAATCCATTCTGGAACTCCCAGCCCCAGTTACTCTACAGCTGCCTTGTTAAAGTGTACCCCCTAAACAGGAGTGTCCAGACCATACACCCCAATACACCCCAGGCCCTTCAGAAACATCCAGCACGGAACTTGCAGCCGTTCAACCCACACAGGCAACCAGGTCTTTCCCCCTTACTTGGCTTCCTGCTCCAGCTGTTCTTCAAGCTGTGCAATCTTGGCTTCTAGAGTAGAAATTGTTGCCTTGAATTTGGACTTGACAG